TAGGATGATCAGATGTTCCCCAGCACTTTTAGTAGATTACAGTTTGGATCCATTTTGAGAGGACCCTGTTCTTCACATTTAGTTCAGAATTTATAGTTCAGTATCATCTGGTATATTTGCCTGAATTTCTTGAGCAGAAATATTTTGTACAAAACAATAAATCTTTACAATTACTTTGATTGCAGAGAATGGCAAATGTGCTGTGCTGAAAAGTCAGAGAGAGAGGGTAAAGGATTTATGGATGCTAATGAAAATACAGAACTTTTTCTTAATCTCAAAGTCTGTGGACCCAAGTTATGCTTTTGCCATTAGTTTCAAATAAGTAATTATTTAACATCTGAATCTGTTGCTGCATTTCCAAAAGTAGACACAGTATTAACAATACCTACAACCTAAGATGGTTTTGTGAGAGAATGTTTCTGGAATAACGTTTTAAACTCTATAGTGATATACTATACAATATTATCTCACTGTACATAGTGTCAGAGTGAATTCTAAAATACCCGTGGAATAGGGAAGGGAATCATCTGTCAGATACTAACCCTTTGTGGGCGATTATGTTTTACAATTTACAATTATCATGTTTATGAACATACATATGCGATAAATAGAGGTGCTGCAGAAAGGACACATGCGACCTATATATACCTATAAACGCAAGGGCGTTTAAAACCTCTCTCCGTCTCCCCGCCCCCACAAACACTCCGTTTCAAAGTGTGTTTTCTGCCATGTTTGTGCTTTGTGAACATCCTCAACTACCTGGATTTTTCCCAGTCTAAACAACCAGATACTTTAACCTTCATGAGCTGTTAGCAAGTGTAGCTGTGTTTCCTGCTGGTCTGATTAAGTCATCAGACTGTGTCGCAAGGGCCCCCAGTGTGTAATCCGTTGTGAGGTCATTGGTCAGGTACTTGAAGCAACTGGAAGAGTAATATCTTTCCAGTAGTATCAAGGCACTGAGATGCTCTGAGCATCAAGACGGGCGGTTTTTCAAGTCGGAGTGGCCAGCTGGCCTCTATTCAGCCGCTGCCAACTGCTGGAGAAGAGAGTAAGCCAAGGGGAGTCATGAATTTTCTCTTGCTGCTAATGGGCACCTTTATGGGCGCAATGGTTGTGATATGGTTCAAAAAAACCTTTCAGGTAAGTGTATGAAAAGATAGTTAGATTGATGTATGTAACACAATCAGCCAATGTTTGTATCGCAGAAGTAGAAGACAGTAAAAATAAGTGAATGGGAGGCGATATCATCTCTCTTTTTCCTTGAAAGAGCTTCATTAAGTTTTACTTTTCTCCTCCACATTTCGCTCATATTTGGCAGCTGTGTGGCCTGTTGGAAAGATCTTCGAAATCATAAGTGATAAGATCAGTTCAAGTGAATGTGCCCACCATCCATCACGACCACGACGACCACCGCCTAGTTTAAGAATCTGCATTTTTTGTTACCTGAGTCTATATTTTCCCAATTGCCTTTTTGCCTCTTCTGCTTTTTCATTATGGTACATTTTATGGGCAATTTCTAGAAAATTCAATTTCACAACCAATACAAATGAAAATCTGAGTGTCTTGGGGAGCTAGGGAGAGAGTACACAGGGTAGAGCGCTTTTCTTGCATGTGGCAATCGTGCTTCAATCCCTGGCACTTCATATGGACTTCTGAACGCAGCTGGGAGTAAGCCCTAACCGCAGAGCCAGAAATAAGTCCAAAGAACTGTTTAGTTGGACTCCAGAGCCAAAACAAAAAATGTATGTATCTTGATACTATGCAAAGCCACAAATGAAGACTGATAATGCTCAAATGACGTCCAAATATTTTGGGGGGAGTGTCACACCCGGCATTGCACACAGAGGTTACTCCTGGATCATCTCAAGCACTCAGGAATTACTCCTGGCAGTCTTCAGGGAACCATATGGGATTCTGGGAATCAAATCCGGGTCTGCTGTGTGCAAGGCAAATAAATGCCCTATCTGCTGTGCTATTGCTTCAGCCCCTAGCATCCAAATATTGACTCTACAGGAGATATTAAGAAATGTCAACCCAGGATATGTCATTTTGGCACAAGGCTACTTTCCTATTTTTTCAGTCTGTCTTTGAGACAACCATATTTCTAAATCTTTGTAAGCATTCCTAGGCATTCAACCCAGTCTTTAGCTCTCATGTTTTCTGGGGTACAGAGGGAGCTATGGGGGAGCTAACTTTGCTATTCCTGACTCTGCTGAGCTGTGCCCTGGCTCTGTATTCAGCTTCCCTCTATTGCGTCCTTAAGTTTCTGTGCTCACTCCTGGCTCAGGACCTGCTCTCAAAGTTTACTGGAGACCCTATAGCTCCAGGAGTTGATCAGGCTACAGAGGAAGAGCTCTCTTAACCTGATCCCTAATTTTTTAAGGTAGAATTCTTAATTTTGATAATCATAAGTATGGTAATCAAAAGTTTATTGTTATTTATTAGTATTTGAGATTACCAAGCTTAATAAACTGTGTGTAATATATTTCTATTCCCTGACAGAGAAACATCCCTAGAAGAAGGTCATCATTGTCATTGCCTACATCTCTTGTACCAGTAAGATTATCCTCTCCTGCTGCGTCAAATCAGAGAAGTGACAATAATAATCTTTCAGTTGAGAGGCATTCTCAGGATAGAATTAAAAAAAATCCACAGTCTCTAGCTACACTGACGAAAACACTGGTGAACCTCAGGATTCTGGAATTCAAACTGGCTGAACTGGAACATTTACTAGCTGGCAAGACTTTGAATGTTGCATCAGTTATCCAGAGCGAATTCGATTCCAGTGAAATTTTTTCAGAATGTACTAGCAATGCTGATAGTAATTAAAGGAACTATCAGTGGGTTCACCTTATCATGTGTTCATTCCGAATGAGTTGTTGCTTTAAAAGTTAAGAATTAAAATATTTGTCAACTTTATTTCATGTATGTAATTGACCACATGTTGCTAATACATATGTTCTGATAAATGAATAAATGTGGTAGAGAACATATTAATTAAGCATTTTTTAAATAACAAAAGTAGTTTCATAGAGTATTTTAATCTTGCCAAAGCATGAAGTTTTCTATAATGGTCTACAATAATGTAAAACTCCTAAACTTTATGTTGACATGAAATTTGATTCCATACTTTCTATTATGTTGCACATTGTTTTTACCATCATTGAATTGTATAGTAATTAAATTAGCACCCTAGGCCAGTGTTTCTAATCTGCTTTTCACTGTATTCTTTTCTTGGTCTCTTCTCTGATTTAATTTCTAACTTCCCTCTGTGTCCTCAGACTAGGGCCTCTCATTTACATGGTGTTCACCTGTAAATTCTTTATAGCCTGGGAGCTTACACATTATTAACCTCCATATGGACCCCAGTTGCCTGAATATTTCCCTAAGGGGATTTTCCCATATCTTGAATACCCATCTACATCAATATTTAGAAAGGAGCCTAAATGTTCTCCACATTCAAATGTTATGATAGAAAATTGCTTCCATTCCTTCTTCATGAATAAAGGTAGACCTCAATAACACCGAATAACTATGTAGAATATATGTAATGTTTTATGGGTTAAATTTAAAAGGAATTATAAGCTCTGGTGAACCATCTATATGGAGCAATATTTTACAAAATTTACCATTGCTGAAAATTAGTAATCTGTTTAAATTCATTCAGTTTTTCTCTCAAAGAAGGTACTCAAAAATATTCTCTATATGGGCATAACTCCAGAGATCCTTCAATTAAAGGTCTAGACATTCACAACCGATTTTCATGACCTCTCCTAAAACATTGCCAATATAAATTAGTGATAGTATAATTCATTGCTCCTTAAATCTACAATGGAAATAAGGGCAAATTGAACTAAAATGCATAAGTAATCAAGGATTACTGTTACTCATTTTATTCTCACTTGTTAAGTACAAGAAGCCAGCAGTCATAATTGTGGTTCTAAAACTATTTTGAGTCACTGGTACCTTCATTAATAAAATAACCCTAAGTACTGAATCCCTAGAAAAATTCATATACTCATACACATAGAAAATGATAATTTTAATTCACTATGTTCTCTGAAACCCAAGTTAAAAACTTTAAGCATAGCTCGTTTCTTTCATATTTAGCAATGTTCATCTTCCGACATTGTGATGTTAAAACAATTGTCAATGTTATATACTCAGTCAACCTATTAATAATACATTTGTACTGACTTCTGTAAGGAAATTGTACATAGAAGTTTCTAATTTTATTACTCTCACTCTTGAAAATTTGTCCTATCTTCCATAAATATGTAGGTAGGTCCTTATGCATCGCAGTGACATTAAAAAAGACAAAATTGTTCTGCTTGGTTTATTAACTAAATAATAAAATTAAATATAAGACATTAGATTTGGTTGAAGCCATTTCCTCATTAGCATTTTGTTCCATGTGCTATCTGAAAACTATGTATTTGAGAATATAATGCATCTTGAAAAACACCATAGAAATCACTTGAATCACATTTTCTTCTAGAGAGATGATAACTGTGGAATTATTTAGTTTTTGAATAATTACATAACCAAGTATGTTTATTAATTTTCTAGAACTATTACTTTCTGGGTTTAGGATCTAATTTAGAATTTTGATATTTGCAAATAAAGAACAAAACCAGTAACTTCACATAGAAAAATTCAGTCAAAATTATTTGAAGTCTCCAGATATATTTGGATAAACATTATTGATGATTTCATATGTACAATGAATTTTTAATTATACATCTTTACATTTATAATTGAGGCATCCTATTTATGACACCTTCATTTTAATATTATTTATTTTACCTATATTTATGTAAAATAAATATTTCATACTAAGAAATATAAGCAAATAATATTTAAAAATTTTATAATAGAAAATAAAACTATTTTCTAAAACACAGCTCAAAATAAAACCTTTAATGTGTTAAACACTACATTGTATTGTTTAAAAAATTTTATTGTGAAATAAGAGACTGCTATGTTTACATGTGTTGCATACAGAATCTAAGTAGAAATATAATAAGAACATTGTTAAATGCTAGTAGATTCACATTTTATATTACATTCCTGTTAAAATGGTGGAAAAGGTGATACTATTATGAACATAGTATATACATCTTAACTAAATTAAAACACAAATAAATAAAACCTTCCTCTATTTTAAAAGAATCACATTACACAACCAAATAAATGTTTAAAAATTGCAACTCATTCTGGTTTTCTATTTCCACTAACTGTAGGTATTTCATGGTCAGTTTCTTTATTAGGATCTACCATGTCTTTATATCTCTCCCCACGATGTCTTTCCAAGTATGGGCCCCAGTTAGAAGCTGGTCTGCAACAGCTTACAATGCGCTAGAAAAGAAAAAAACCTTGTGTTAAGAATGTAAGTGCCATAACTGTTAAACTAGAACAATCTCCATTTTTATTTTAAACAGTTACTTTGCTAATCTGGCTGGAGCGATAGCACAGTGGTAGGGCGTTTGCCTTGCACGCAGCCAACATGGCTGACCCGAGTTCGATTCCTCCGCCCCTCTCGGAGAGCCCAGCAAGCTACCGAGAGTATCTCGCCCGCACGGCAGAGCCTGGCAAGCTACCCATGATGTATTCGATATGTCAAACACAGTAACAACAAAGTCTCCAATGGAGACGTTACTGGGCCCGCTCGAGCAAATAGATGAACAACAGGAGGACAGTGACGGTGACTTTGCTAATCAAAATTAAATAATAATTGGTAAAGTAACATCCAAATACTTAATTCACAGTCTACAACAAAAGTTTACTCACATTTAACTATTAACTACATTAACTTAACTACAAAAACTTAAACTTTTGAGTATGCAATTGATTTCAAAAGAAAGGGTGAACCCATTTACAAAACAGCATTATTGTAAGCACTTTCACTGAATTCTCAGATCTTTCTGTATTGGTCTTAGCAGGAGGGCTGCATTGAAGACATCAACCACCGAATATCAAAGGAGACATTTAAACAACCAAAGAAATAAAGTCCCAAGATAACACCATTGATCCGTATCTATTCTTGAATGAATTTTGGAATTTATTTAAAATCTACTGACTCCAAAACCTGTCTTGCCATTGTCCTTGTGAGGTTGCAAATCCATTCTCCTTAGGCCTTGATAGGAAAGAAATGACATTGCTTCAAGATAATTTACCAGTTTTCTTTTCTCCACCCTAAACTCAGTATTAAGTTATGTTACAGATGAGGTTTCAAAAGTGAATATTATATATAGAAGGTAAAATGATCATTTTTTCTTCCATATTCAGGGAAAAATCAATGTAAACATAGAGAACATACTTCTCACCGGCTCACCTGAAAATAAAGCAACTAACAAGACTCCTCAGTAAAGGAGCACACAGTCTAGTAGAGGGAGTTTAAGTGTTAAATGGAGTATAATACAACGTTGTGCTTATAGAAATGGATGGTTACATCAAGTGTTGAATTTTTTTTGTTTTTGTTTTGTTTTATTTTTTGGTCATACCCAGCGATGCACAGGGGTTACTCCTGGTTCTGGATTCAGGAATTACTCCTGGTGGTGCTCAGTGGGCCATATGGGATGCTGGGAATTGAACCTGGGTCGGCCACGTGCAAGGAAATGCCCTACTCACTGTGCTATCATTCCAGTCCCAAGTGTTGAAATATTTTAAGTGAAAGACTGATTGATTTTATGTCATATCCCCACTAGAGTGTAAATTATCATTTTTATCTTAAGGACATTTTGTAAAATATAATGTTAATTTAATGTGCTTACTTGAAAGATGTTTCCTTTAGCTTGAATTATTTTTACAGTGGCTATAATTGGAATCCAAATAATGCAGAAAATAATCATACACCAGCCTAGAGCCACTGCCCAATTAGGGTATGGTATTTCAGCATATACAGGCCGATGAAATTTCACCAGTGACCAGATAAAAATTGCCTGTGAAAGTAAAATATAAAAAGACAATGCCAAAAATTAGTCTTGATTTTATTGAACTAATGGCATTTTGATTCCATTGTTTAGAAATAATCTATCAGAAGAAATTAAAATAAAATTATGTTTAATGATTAATATAATAATGTAACTAGCCAGAAGCTAACAACATAAATGAACCGACTTATAAAGCTTATAATTCAGCTTTGAATACTTTCTTCCCTAATTAGCACCTGCTTATTTTTACAAAATATACAACAAGATAATAATATACTTTATTTAGATTAAAAGTAAAACATAAAAAATCCTGTGATTGCACATTTAAATTTTAGCATGGTTTTATTCAATGGCATAAGATAGCCTACATATAAATTAATGATAATGTAAAGCACATTTTAGTGGACATGCTTTCATCCTCATTTAGCAATTATTTCTATTATTTCCCACTGCAAAGAGCACTCCTTCCTCTATACTTCTAAATCTCTCACTAACACACACACTACTGTGATTATTCACTAAGATGTGCTTTACTTTCAGTCTCTTCCTTTAAAAACAGTCTTTGTATGTTTGCATAATACCATGAAATCTTAGAGATAAAAATATAAGGCCAAATTTTTCTGTGTTTTTAGAAAACATACTATACCTTTTGAAACATTAACAATATTTAGAAAATTTTGTATAAATGACAAAATAAAAATAACTCTATATATGTACACATGTCTATAAACACATAAATATATAAACATTTTAGGCTAAATTATTTCATGACATTTTCCAAGATTGCTTTTGAAGCATGAATGCAATCACAACCATAATATTTCTATGAAGCTTTACTACTCCCCCTTATACCATTTTTTCCAACCCATAGTAGATCCCTATTCTGGTAAGTGTTTATTTTGGCACTTTCTGTCTTGTACATTTAAATATAGCATGTCTCTTTTGTAGGATCCCTTTTACTTTCTCTAACTTTTTAAATAAAACCAATTATTGATTTTATTAACCGTGTCCTATATGACATGGGTGAATTTGTTTTAGATATTTTAGATGCAACTTTTTATAATAAAATATAGAACTAAAATTTGTTGAGAGTTTTACTAGCAATTTTCACTGAATTTTATAAAGACAGAATCTTTACTGGTTAGAAATGTTATAGATGATTTGGAATAATCTTTTTGGGAATAATAGAAAGAAAGATTTATCTTATTGACAACTAAGTCTATGTGATTTTAAGTCTATGGGAGCCTATTCATTTTCTCAAATTTTTAAATGTTTAAACTTTTAGTGTTAAAAACACTGTAGTAATTTTGATATAGGCATGAGACAAAAGCTAAAAATCATTTACTTATGATATCAGTTTGCTTTATTACCACCAGTGTTAATTATTAAAGTTCATCTTAGAAATATTTAAATATTTTAATTTACATATTACTTATTGATATCAAGTTCATTGCATTTTAAAACTTACAATCAAAAGAATAGGTGTAATGGCAAACCAACAAGCTCTCCACCATAGCCAGAATATCCACCGTTTTGCTCCAATCATCATTTCTATATCTTCAATGAATCTGTTCCCTCCTAAGTAAAATAGAGAATACTATGAGAATAAAATATGAGAAACATTGCTCATATTTTCCTCCACTAATCATTATAACCCCAAATTACCTTTCTCTGTCTAGACATTTTCATGTATCATAGAAATGATATATATACATAATTACAATTTGTTCATAATGTTTTAGCCAGTAGATTTTACTATTATAGTAAGCATAATAAAAAAGAATTAAACTAATTTATTTTAGCACAAATATAAATAATTCTAGTCATTATTTACCATAAATCCAGATGATTCCTATTATTTCCAGTATAGCTGCAATTAAAATTCCCCATCCAGCACAGAAGTGATCGATCAGATGAACCCAGTAAATTCCAGCCTATGGAAAATATATCAATTGCTTGTAAGCATATTTTAATTATTTTTATAATTGATGAGATGTCAAAATGGATGCACAAATCTAACATGTTAAAATGATCTTAATATGTACTCTTTGCAATCATCTCTGCCCATATGTCAAATATTTTCTTTGAAAAAAAACCCCGAGTGCCCAAGAAAAGATGACTGGTTAAAGAAACTTTGGTACATCTACACAATGGAATACTATGCAGCTGTTAGAAAAGATGAAGTTATGAAATTTACATACAAGTAGTTCCACATAGAAAGCATCATGCTAACTGAAATGAGCCATAAAGAGAGGGACAGACATAGAAAGACTACTTTATATTCCTCAGATGAGTGGGGTCGTGGGGACAGGAGACTCAGCTACCACCATGCCAAGACCCAGAGACTATAAAACCCAGCTCCTAGAAGAGAACAGCGCAGAGTCTCCTGACCCTGCGCCTGGCTGTCCTCGCCGGGGCCCCTTGGAGGGGAGGTGGTTGAGTTTCCTTCCCCGCCATGACCAGGGCTCCGGCAGCCAAAGACCTTCAGAACAAGCCACCACCATGCTGAGACCACTCTCCACACGCATGAAGGTACCATCAAAGGAACAAAGGCATGCGGGTCCCGGGGCTGAGATCTCCAATCCTGCTCGGATCAGGGCTAAGCATCCTCCACCTAGATCCTCCATATTCCAGTAGGCAGGGGTCACACCCACCAACTGACCCCCTGGCACCATGTAATCTCATCAACGGCCAAGACCCAGAGACTATAAAACCCAGCTCCCGGAAATTGACATCTTATCTCATTCTTACTTTGGACAAACGAACAGGCTACTGAATGTAACCTGCCCACACAGCAGAGTCTGGCAAACTCCCCGTGGCATATCCAATATGCCAAATACCAGTAACAATGATGGGTCTCATTCTCCCTACCCTGAAAGTGCCTTGAATATGGCACTTTTTAAAAAATCTCAGGGCTAGGAAGAAGGAAACTTTACTGGGGCCTGCTCGAGGCAATCGATGAACAACAGGATGGTCGTGATTGTCGTGATTAAAAATCTGCTAAAATAGAGAAGAAAATCACAGATAAAACTCAAACTTGAACTAAATCACATTTAAATTTGTTTCTAAAAATTCTCTTAAACCTTGGTTTCGCCATTTAAATTATGGAGGGTATAACAACTATATGTTTTACCAAAAAAATTAGTATAGTATACCTGAGTCACACAGACGAGACCAAGAAGAAACAAGACCAAGCAGCAACCCAAGGTAATAGGAATCCTCATTTTCTTCATAACTTTGGGGAATAAATCTTGAATTGTTGTTGTAATCGTTTCTTCAGAAAGGGAAAAATAGTATTTTACACAGCAACTCATTTACGAGGAAATTCAGTCATATAAATTTATTTCTATTAAACTCTGGACATTTTGCTTGGAACTTGTTGCTTTGAATGAAAAGGAAAGGCAGTTTATCTCTTGTTTTCAGTATTTCAGTGTTGGGATAGGGGGATGGGAAAGTTTTATTTCAGAGTCATTGCTGAAAGTAGTCCTTGTTCAAATCATAAAATTATTCCATTTATTTGTTTTTCTAAATAAGGTTTCTTTTTAACTAGCAATTGTAATGTAGTATAGATCCCTGGGTGCTAAAGTAGTTGAAAGGAGGTTATATGGAAGGAATAATTCTAGTAGAGCTATTAAATAAGGTTAATATTTGGACTCGAGAGATAACACAGAATTAAGTTGCATTCGGCCTTCTTTCTTTTGATCACTGGCACCACATGTGGTCACCCAAATACAAGCAGGGGTGACTCTGCTACACAAAGTCAGGAATAGCTCTTGAAAACTGATTGGTGTGACTTGCCTCACCCCCCAAATGAAATAATGTGAATAAGAGGACAGAGCGAAAACTGATAAGGTGCTTACCTTGAATGTGGCTAACACGGGTTTAATCTAGGCACTCTATATATGTTCCAAGCCCCACCAGGAGTGATCCCTGAGTACAGAGCCATGGTAAGCCCTGAACACAGTCAGGTTTGGCAAAGTGAAGAGAAAAGGAGAATGAAAGAGATGGGGGAGGGGAAGGTATAGATAAAGGGAGAAGGAAAGCGGATGAGAGGGGAGAGAAGAGCAGGGGAGCGGAGGGGAGGAAAGGGATCATGAGTACCATGTAATTTTCTATATTTAGATGAGTGTTAGTTTGGGGGCCGCAAACCAATTCTTGGTGCTGTGCTCAGGGATCAGATCTGGCAGAGATTGGGGAATCATATGGAGTGCCAGGGATCGAACTGGGGTCAACCACAAGCAAGGCAAGCACCTTATATGCTGTACTATCTGTCTGACCTCAATAGTTAAAAGTATTGGATTTCTAGAAATAACACTGAGTACAAGCTAGAAGGGAAATGCGGTAAGAAATGATTTAAAATTTTAAATCATTTTATAGAGGGTGGGCTAGAGTGATAGCGCACAGCAGGTGGGACGTTTTCCTTGCACGTGGCTGACCCAGGTTCGATTCCTCCATCCCTCTCAAAGAGCCCGCAAGTTAACCGAGAGTTAATGTGGCACAGCAGAGCCTGACAAGCTCCCTGTGGTTTATTCTATATGCCAAAAAATGTAACAAAAAGTCTCACTTAGTGTTTCTGGAGTGAGCAGATGCCATTGGCTACAGTAGCATGCAAAAGGGAAGAATGGAAATGTTACTGGTGCCCACTCGAGCAAATTGAATAACGGGACGACATTGCTACAGTGCTTTGTAGGGGACACAACCAGTTGTGTTTTCCTCAGAGGGCAGGGAGAATCAAACTCAGGGTTTTGGATATTTTAAGCATATGCTCAACCATTTCCTTGGCCACAATAAATGAATATTTCTAAGTAAGACACAAGTAAAATATAAGGGAGATATGATAACACTGCAATTATTACTTACCAATTGAGGCAAATTGAGAGTCAAGTCCCAAAGTCAAAAGCATGAAGAAAAATAATATGGACCAGAATGGCCCACCTGGGAGTTGAGCTAGAGCTTCTGGATAAGCAATGAATGCCAGATCAAAACCTATGGAAAAAGAGTACTATTTTAATTTAAATTGGCTACCAAGAAAATATATGGCCCCTCGGCCAAGATGCCCCCCAGAACTCTGGCCAGATGACTTCCCCGACAAGAATTAGGACTGCATTAGAAGTGGGACTTTAATACTAAAGTGGCCAACTTCCTCACAGTTAACATGCATCAGCGGGGGGAGGGGGGCCACGTGGTATCTGGGACAGTGGCACCTCACATGGCTGCAGTTACTTTTCCCCCTTCCCAGGGCTCTGGACCCGCACCTCAGTCTTCATCATATTATTCTGAGGAGAACATCCTGGTGATCCCAATCACATTAGGCCAATAGTCTACTAGACTATTCCAATCTCTCCAAAATAATAGTGACAACAAGAAACTGAACAAGCCTAATATAAAAGAATACACCCTTGAAGCTTCACTAGAGGAGTCATGTAAATCACAGAGGAGACCAAATAGGAAGGGGAAAAAAAAGATGATCAAAATTGACCAAGCTCATCCAGAATCCATTCTCACAGTGAGAGGGGTACACTGATAGTGAACTGGAGAGTCCCACCTCTATATTACCATAACAATATGAAGAAACAGTGTAAATCCCCACCATGAGAAGAGGATTAAAAAAAGAGTCCAGAAGCCTCAATAGGGATGACCCACAAATATGATCTCTCTTATAAATAATTCAGAGATGAAATGCTGAGGATAATCAAATAACTCAAAGAAATGGTGGAACAGACACCCAGTAAATTAACAGTTAAAGATATCATTGCTGAGAAGTTCTCAGATCTGGAGAATGAAGGCATTCAGATCAAAGTAACCTGAAGGGTGCCAACAAAAAGAGAGCCAAATAAAAAGACTCTAAGACATATCATAATCAGAATGATGGATACCAAGGATAGACACACAATACCGCAAGTAGCAAGGTCAAAGAAGGAAATCAGATAAAAGGAACACCCCTTAGATTTACAGCTGACTTATCAGAGGAAACTTTCCAAGCCAGAATACAATGGTGGGATATAGTGAAAAATTTCAATTAAATAAATGCCTCACCAAGAATAATTTATCCAGCTAAACTCTCACTCAAACTTGAAGTAATGATACACTATTTCATGGATAAACAACAGCTCAGGAATTTCATAGACTCAAAACAAACCTTAAAAGAAAGACGAAAGGGGCTACTGTAAAACAAGAAAAAAAAACTACAAACAACAAACCTCTAAAGAAAGATGGCACAAAAACCCATGACAATAATCTCTCTCAATGTCAATTGTCTAAATGTACCAATTAAGAGAGACCGAGTTGCAAAAGGAATCCAAAAGCTGAACCCAACATTCTGATGCCTAGAATAAACACATCTGAACAGTCAGAGCAAACACAGACTTAAAGTCAAAAGACGGAAAACAATCTTGCAAGCAAACAACTCACTCAAAAGCCGGGCTGGCCATGGTAATATCCAACAACATAGATTTTAGGTTGAAAAAGATTAGAAGGGACAGCGAAGGCTATTTTAATAATCAAGAGATATGTACAGCAGGAAGAAATCACACTCCTATATGGACCCAATGAGGGACCAGCTAAATACTTAAAACAACTGCTAATAGACTTCAAGGAGGACACTGGTAGCAACACAATAGTAGTTGGAGACTTCAACACTGCCTTATCACCTATGAATAGATCAGTAAGATTAAAACTCAGCAAGGAAGTACTGGCTTTGAAGGAAGAAATAGAAGAGATAGGGCTGATGTATACAGAGTCTTCCAGCCCCCCTCCCCAAATACACATTCTTTTCCCAGTGGACACAAAATATTTTCTAAGATAGATAACGTGCTGGGTTACAAAACATACCTTAATAGAATCAGAAAGATAGAAATTGTATCAATCATCTGTTCAGACCATGATGCACTGCAGATAGAAATTAATCACACACAGACAGGGAGAATAAAATCAAACACCTGGAAACTAAATAACTCGACATTGAACAATGAGTGGGTCGGGAAGGAACTCAAGGAAGAACTCAAAATAAACTTAGAAACAAATGAGAATGAAGACACGAAATACAGAACTGTGGGACACAGCTAAAGCAGTGTTAAGGGGAATATTTATAGCCTTGCAAGCATTTCTCAGGAAGGATTAAAGGGCCCACGTAAACAACTTGACTTCCAAGCTCAAGACCTTGGAAAAGGAGCAACAAAAAGGACCAAAACCAGGCAGAAGGAAAGACATAATGAAACTTAGAGCAGAAATTAATGACAGAGAAACCCAAAAACAATCCAAAAGATCAATGAAGCCAAGAGCTTGTTCTTTGAGCAAATAACCAAGATTGATAAACCACTAGTATGACTCACAAAGAGAGTAAGAGAACCCTAATTAACTGAATGTGAAATGAAAAGGGGTACATCACAAGAGAAAACAAATAAATTGGAAAGATCATTAGAGATTACTTTGAAAGTCTGTATGCAATGAAACAAGAGAACCTAGAAGAAATGGATAAATTCCTAGATTCCTATAATCTCTCAAGGCTGAACCAAGAAGATGTGGAATACCTGAATAGACCTATTACTATCAAGGAAATTGAAACTGTAATCAAAAAATCCTCCCCAAAGCAAAAGCCCAGGTCCATTCACTAGCGAAATCTTCCAAACATTAAAAAGATGACCTACTGCCAGTCCTTTTCAAGCTTTTCCAGTAAATTGAAGAAACAGAAACACTCCCAAACATTTCATATAAAGAACATATCACCCTAATACAAAAAGCAAACAAAGACACCACAATAATAGAAAATTACAGGCTGATATCCCTGATGAATATGGATGTGAATATCCTCAACAAAATGTTAGCAAATAGAATACAACAACTCATCAAAAAGATCATACACCACGACCAAGTGGGATTTATCCCTGGATGCAAGGATGATTTAACATTTGCAAGTCAACCAAGCATTATCCTCAATGGGGAAAAACTAAGAGCCTTCCCTCTAAGATCAGGGACAAGATAAGGATGCCTACTCTCACCACTTCTGTTCAATATAATACTGGAAGTACTTGCAACAACGGTTAGGCAATAAAAAAATATTAAGTGCTTTCATACAGGAAAGGAAGATATCAGACGTTCACTATTTGCAGATGATATGATACTATACTTAGAGAACCTTAAAGCCTCTATCAAGAAGCTCCTAGAAACAATATACTTGTATAGTAAAGTCTCAGTCTATAAAATCAACATTTAAAATTCCATGGCTTTCCTATACACAAATAATGAGAGAGAAGAAAGCGATATGAAAAAAGCAATCACGTTTACAATTATGACTTAGAAAATCAAATACCTCAGAATAAGTTTGACTTAAGGAAGTAAAACATGTACAAAGAAAACTACAAAATGCTACTTTAAGAAATGAACAGGACATGCATGTTGAAAGTAGACTATGGAGTGAACATGATTGCCACTCAATGCCTCTTTTGCAGACCACAACACCCAAAAGGAGAGAGAGAACAAAAGGGAATACCCTTCCACGGAGGTAAGGTGTGATGGGGGGGGATAGGGGTGGGAGGGATACTGGGATTAATGGTGGTGGAAAATGGGCACTGGTGGAGGGATGGGTATTTGATCATTGTATAATCGAAACCCAAGCACAAAAATTTGTAAGTCTACAACTGTGCCTCATGGTGTTTCACTAATAAAATTAATAAAAATAAATAAATGAATAAATAAATAGGTGATAAAAAAGAAATGAACAGGACATGAGGAAATGGAAACATATTCCCTGCTTATGGGTTGGGAGAATTAACATTGTCAAAATGGCAATACTCCCCAAAGCATTATACAGATTTAATGTGATCCCTATAAGGATACTCACGACATTCTTCAAAGAACTTGATCAAACACTCCTGAAATTTATATGGAAGAACAAGTGACCACGAATAGCTAAAGCAATTCTTGGGAAAAATAAAATGGAAAGCATCACCTTCCTCAACCTCAAACTCTACTACTAAGTGGTAATAATTAAAACAGCATGCTATTAGGACAAAGGCAGAGCTGAAGACCAATGTAACAGGTTGAATATCCTTACACACTCTCTCAAATATATGATCATCTGATCTTTGATAATGGAGCAAGAAATGTGAACTGGAACAAGGAAAGCCTCTTTAACAAATTGTGCTCACAGAACTGGACAGCTATATGCAAAAATAATGGGCTCAGACCCCTACCTAACACCATGCACAAAAGTCAGATAAAAATGGATTAAAGAAATCAACATCAATAATCCATAAGGTGTATTGAATAAAAGGTTGGCAAAATTCTCCATTGACATTAAAGCTAAATGTCTTAAAAGATGAAACACCACTGACCAAGCAAGTGGAAACAGATATAAACATATGGAATTATCTTAAACTAAGAAGCTTCTGTACCTGAAAATAAACACTGGCCAGAATACAAAGACAGTCTACAGAATGGGAAAGGATATTTACCCAGTACCCATATCCTAAGGGGTTTAATATAAAGGCTATACAAGTCACTGGTTGAACTCTACAAGAAGAAAGCATCCAATCCCATCTGAAAACGGAGAGATGAAATGAAAAGAAACTTTCTCAAGTAGAAATCCAATGGCCAAAAGGTACATAAAAATGATCTTCATCACTAATCATCAAGGAGATATAGATCTAAACAAGAGTGAGGTATCATCTCACAGCACAGAGACTGGCACACACCAGAAGAACAAAAGCAACCGGTATTGGCGTAGATGTGGCGAGAAAGAGACCTTCCTTCACTGCTGGTGGGAACTCTGACTAGTTCCGCTTTTTTGGAAAACAACACGGATGTTTCTCAAAAAATTATAAATTAAGCTCCCATTTGACCCAGCAGTACCACTTATGGGAATATAACCTAGAGATGCAAAAAAGTACAGTAGAAATGATATCTGCACTTGTATGTTTATTGCAGCAATATTTATAATAGCCAGAATCTGGAAAAAACCCAAATGCCTGAGAACAGACAAGTGGTTAAAGAAATTTTGGTAGATCTCTACGATGGAATACTATGCAGCTGTTAGAAAAGATAAAGACATGAAATTTGCATATAATTGGATGGTCATGGAGAGTATCATGCAAAGTGAAATGAGTCGAAGAAAGAGGAAAAGACATAGAATGACTGCTCTCATTTGTGAAATATACAGTAACAGAATAGGAGACTAACACCTAAGGATAGTAGAGATGAGGGCCAGGAGAATGGCTCCATGGGTTGGAAGCTGGCCTAAATGCTGGTGAGAAAGACAGCTGAGATAGAGAAGTACCACCAAGTAAATGATGCTTGAAGGGCTCACTCAGGAAGGGAGAATTTTGCTGAAAGTAGACTATGGACTGAACATGATGACAACTTAGTATCTGTATTGCAAACCATTAACATCCAAAAGGACAGAGAGAGTAAAAGAGATTGTGCCTGCACAGAGGCAGGAAAGTATAGGTGGTGGCAGGAGGTATACTGGGAACATTGATGGTAGAAAATGGGCACTTGTGGTGGGATGGGTGCTCGATCATTGTATGACTGGAAAGTAATCATGAAAGTTTGTAAGTTTGTAACTGTATCTCAGGGTGATTTATTAAAAATAAAATATGAAAAAGAAAAAAAACCAAAATTTATGTGTGTATTTAAAAAATAGGATACTAGAAAAATCATTTTAAATTTGGGACCCAATCTATCCCATATATTCCTTAGCATTTTAGCATCATTTTGCTTTTTCAAAATATTTGACTTGGTTGTTTTATGATGCAATAATGTATGTTACTAATTAAATCATGTAACAAGATAAATTAAACTATTTCATTTAAAAATGAGATACATTTTTTAAATCGAAGACTGTTCTTACAAGAAATCAACTATTTAAATGATTTTTTAAAAATTGTTTTCATTTTTTAAAGATTAATGAAAAACTATTATCTTAAACTTCAGTAAGTTAGGTTACCTTTATATTAGCTGAGACATTAAAAAATAATTACAGCTCTCTGGAAAGAAAGATGGCGGCCGCACGGGAGCCTTGTGGACAGCAGGTTTGAGCCGGGGCTGGCGGGAGCGGCAGGGACCTCATGGGAAGGGGGGCTTTGTGGGCCGTCCCCCACGCCCCACCGAGGTCTCCAGCTGCCCCCCACGAGCGGCTCTCCGGCACGGCCACGACTCCAGGGCACAGAAACCAATCTCTTAACTAGCTAACTTTTAATAGAAATTCTTCCAGGGTCAATAAGTAAAATAGCAGAAATTCAAAACCACGTGGCCACGACATCATTTTATTCTTAAACCAAGTTGTAGAAAGCAAATCATTTCACAATGCTGTTTCAGCATGTCTGATTGTGGGGGGTGGGTCGCAAACTCTAAACAATAATTGTGCATCTTCTATCGAAATAATCTGTCTAGTCAAAGTAGATAGAGTATTAACTAGAACTCATCTGCCTCAAAAGAATTGGGAGGGGTGGGAGGTGGGGGTCTATTAGGGTTCAGGGTTAAAAATAAGTATTGGTAAAGGGAAATGTGTTTGATATCTACATGACTGAGACCTAAACCCGAAAGCTCTGTAACTTTTCCCACGGTGATTCAATAAATAAATAAATTATTTAAAAAAAATAATAATTACACTATAAAGAAAATTAAATTATGTAATTTTTTTCTTGACTGTCCTTCCATGTACGACCATAATCATTGTGTGCAGCTCGATTTTAATTGGTTTATGAATACTTGCAATATTCTGTATGTAATGAACTTGGCATTCAATATTTTAAACTTGATTACACCATTAAATGTTTTTACATTTAAAATTTTTAAGTTGTTTAAGTTTCTTCAAACTCCTAGAGGACTTAATTAAGTAGAGCTAAATAAAATTGACTTATAACCTAGACTCTATGGCTTCCTAATTATTTGATCTTTGGTATTATATAACATGTCTATGTATTAATCCTTCAAATGCAAATGATGACTGGTCCGTAGAAAATATCCAAGACCTTTTTCTATTCTTAATATCTGTTTTTTGGAGCGATAGCACAGCGGGTAGGGCGTTCGCCTTACACGCGGCCAACATGGCCAACCCGAGTTCGATTCCTCCGCCCCTCTCGGAGAGCCCGGCAAGCTACCGAGAGTATTCGATATGCCAGACACAGTAACAACAAAGTCTCCAATGGAGACGTTACTGGGCCCGCTCGAGCAAATCGACGATCAACGGGAGGGCCTTTACCTTTACCTTAATATCTGTTTTTATTCATTAGTTTCACCATTAATTCCTAGACAAAGATTGAAATTAATAAGAAATTCCTATAAAAAGATCTCTAGAATTATTTCCTAAAACTGTTTAGTCTGATATAATGTTTTTGATACTATAGGAAGCTCATAAGACAGATTCCTTTAAAGCTGGACAGAACCACATATTCAAATAAAGTTACCTCTTTGCCTATGATATTAATAAACAGATATAAATACATATTCCATACAGTAATTATACCAAAGGAATTTTTATATATGTGTATGCATATATATCATATATATGCATATTCACTCTTTCTTTGTATTGTGACTATACACTAATAAACACATATGAATTAAATAAAAATAATTCATATAAAGTTTTCAGCAAAATTCCTGATATTTGAACATATATAACAAGTAGTTTATATTTAGGACTAAATGCAATTTAGGTAAAATACTTTCTTAAACAAGTTTCAATCAATATAGTCTTATTTTTTAAGATCACCTAAGAATTATTACATCATTAAAACAGGTATGTCGAAGTAAATGAGGAAGAAAATGCAATACCCTAAATTCTGAGTTCTTTAAGTAAATTCTATGAAAGAAATTACTTTTTAATCAGTTACAATAAGTTAATCAAACTTAGTATCATATGTCATTACATACCTGATTTTACAACCTGAGAGACTTCCTTTCCAGATATATGAGCCATGTGTCCCAAAATAGAAAAGATAGCAAATCCAGCAAACACACTAGTGAGGCAGTTTGTCAAGCAAACTACTATGGCATCTGAGAAGCAGTTGTTATTGAACTTATTGTAAGATGACAGAGCAACTAAGCCACCCCAAGCCACTGAGAGGGAGTAAAATATTTGAGTAGCAGCGTCTTTCCAAACCTGTGAAGAGAAGACATTTTAAATATCCGCACATAGGTTTTTAAAATCTGTATAAAATATTTCATATGTGTAAACTTTAATATAAATAACAACAAAATGAACACACAAGTACACCAATTAGCTTAAGAAATAAAACATTACCAGTTGTTTAAGCCTGTAGTTTCCCTTCAACCATCCAGTGGAAACTGCTTTCCTGATTTTTGCATTTATTGTTTCTTTGAAATCATTTAGTTTTTCACTACATAACTAAATAAACTTTAGAATGTATCTAGCTATGAATCTTTTGAAATTTTTAGAAAACCTATCTTTTTAAAAAATTTTTATTAGTGAGACACCATGAGGTACAGTTATAGACTTACAAATTTTGTGCTTGGGTTTCAATTATACAATGATCAAATACCCATCCCTCCACCAGTGCCCATTTCCCACCACCACGGATCCCAGTATCCCTCCCACCCCCCATCCCCCCCATCCCACCCTGCCTCTGTGGTAGGGCATTCCCTTTTGTTCTCTCTCTCCTTTGGGTGTTGAATGTAAACTTAATGCTTATTACTGCATTCCCATTTTTATGTCAAACACAGAAAGAACACAAATTTGTGAGATTTGATTAAAGATAAGACTTGGAGAAGCAACTTAAAGAATATAAAAATGCTTTTATTCTTTTTTCCCTTTTATTTCCTTTTTATCATTTTTGGGTCACACCCGGTGATGCACAGGGGTTACTTCTGGCTCATGCTCTCAGGAGTTACTCCTGGTGGTGCACAGGGGACCATATGGGATGCTGGGAATTGAACCTGGGTCGGCTGTGTGCAAGGCAAATGCCCTACCCGTTGTGCTATCACTCCAGCCCCTAAAAACATTTTTTAAATAAACTCAAAGCTATAAAGTTTAAGGAAAATTGAAGCGTCTACTCAGAAAATGTCACAACTATAGTAACATCATACAACAGAGGTAATTAATAAATCTTTAAAATCGCATTGTTAAATAAGTTTATAAATTTAAAAGTTCACTGCATATTTTATCTTGTTTAACACTATTTGGTGTGACTCCAAAACCAAAATAAAAAATAACTTTTTAAAGAATGATAAATCATACATCCTGAAGAACAGAAATACTAATAAATTTAATCACATGTCTGAAGACAACGATTTTCAGTATTTGCTTTAAAATTTTTCCTCAGAAATTGGAAGGATGGAGTCATGGGTGTTGGGATGCTGTAGGACTGAAATCCAGTCATGAAAAGTTTTGTAAGGGTCTATCTCACAGTGATTCATAACAAAGTTTTAAAAATTGTAAGTCAAATTAAATCTTACCTCAGCTTCCATAAGTTTTGTAAAATTTGACTGTGATCCAATATAGTATGAAATGCCTTTTGATGCTCCTTCCAGAGTTGCACCTCGAATTAACAGGATGAGTAGGACAATATAGGGGAAAATAGCTGTAAAATATACCACCTACAAAGGAAACCAACTACAAGTTAACATTTTCATCATAACTCATAATTCTATACAAAATTATAAGTTGATAAGAGCAAAATGTATTACATATTTTATCCTTATTAATATTTTTACCGGGTTGGAACAATAGTACAGTGGGTAGGGCATTTACCTTGCATGTGGCTGACCCGGGTTTGATTCCTCCGCCCCTCTCGGAGGGCCAGGGAAGCTAACAAGAGTATCCAGCCCACACAGCAGAGCCTGGCAAGCTCCCCATGGCATATTCGATATGCCAAAAACAATAACAAGTCTCACAATGGAGACATTACAGGTGCCTGCTCAAGCAAATCAATGAACAACAGGAGGACAGTGCTAATATTGTTATAATTTAAAGTTAGTATAACTTTAAATTATTAAATTAAACTTTAAATTTGCCCTTTCCACACTGAAGACCACTAAATAATTTATTTTCAAAACATTTGAAGCAATATTTTCCATATAGATATTGTGAATACATCAGCATTGATAAAGTTGAATACAGGAATATATTTCTGAAATATATACTTATAAATGTCTAAGCAGACTGAGTAATACAAGAATATATTTTTTCCAAAATATATCCTTATAAATGTCTAAGCAGACTGAGTATTTAATCTCGGTATTTACTTAATTGAGGTAGAAAGTAAATCATTTAACATTATATATGAAACACACACACACGCACACGCACACACACATACATATGCTTAGTTACCAAGGAGAAGGAAAATAGTCTTCTAGTATAGATGTCCAATTACCATGAAAACTGATTAAAGAGAGTACTGTACATTTGTCATATCTTAAAAGTTACCAGGAAAATTTAACTATATATATAACTATATATATAAGCTATATATAATATATAACTATATATAAGCTATATATAGTTATATATATTATATATTATATATATTAACTATATATAACTATATATAAGCGTGTGTGTACATATATACTGTATATATACACTCGTACACTGTTATATCCCAGGTAACACATGGTCAAGATAAGAAGATTGCCTTTAAGAGGCTAAGCTTTTTATTAATGTGGATAATTCTATTCTTTGATCAATAAATCACTTATATTTGATAATATGCCCAAGAGATAATTTTATATAATTCATCCAGAGACCAATAAAATTATTTGCCTGAGTAAATTGCCTTAAATTGAATTTTTAATATAAAATACAAAACCTAACTTTTCACACTATTTTTGTTATCTTAGTAATAGGATACCATATTACAACAACATTAGCTAAATATTCTAGATACTGTTATAATAAACCTAAATGTTCTAGATACTGTTCAAGTAATTCAAGGATAGTTGCCAAAGTTATTCTTGTCCTCCATCTTTAAGAAAATTATAATCTAGTAGTGCAAATCTACCAAACATTCACTTTTTTGGGAACTGTGCAACTGTTCACTGGTAATACATCATGTGGCTCTCTGAAATTTCCATGATACTCTAAAAAATTAAATAAACAATAATATGGTAAAATATGACATTTTTCCAAGAGATGGCTCTGTCGAGAAGGATTTTTATAGTCAATTTTGGGAAGCTTTAAGAGACCAATTGTACTTTTTATACTATCACTTTCCAGTAGGGGAATCTTGACACTATTACCCTATATAAAATGCTTATCTGTTCTGGTTGACTATAATGTATGTAAAAAATATGTGTAGCTTTTCTAAATCAAACATGTATAATTCAACACGTATAAATCAAGCAATGTATAATTCATTTTTAAATGCTCACTTATATAGTAGGAAAGAAAATTAGAAACATCCTCTCAAGCTTCAGTATTATCAAGAAAGGTCCAATTTTGGAGTAAATGCCTGCACTTCTCTAGCATTAGTTTTTGCGTCTTCTTTTTAAAACAATAGCAGTTATATATTTTCTTAGTGTGAGAGAAATACTTTAAAAGATTTTACAGACTTGAGTCTTCTCATTACAAAATAAAACATGTATTTGATAATGCTTTACACTGAGCTACAATTACATTGCAAAACAGTTACAATACTTCTGTGTTTTCCAAATTACCTTGCCAGAAGACTTGATTCCTTTAAATAATGCTGCTCCAACTATGAGCCAAGCCAGAAGAAGACAAAGTGCTAAATACCACACAATGACTCCAGTCTCATCTATTCCACTTGACCGTTGGAGCGCCATTTTACTGAAAACACATAAGTCCTTTAATGAACACAGAATTACTTATCTTATTACAGTGAGTTTAGCAATATATGTCATCTGGCATGGGGAAGTTTGTGGGTCTTTTATTAATACATAAAGTCCTGTTAGCTTTTTATTAATACTATTACGTAGAGAGGCAAATAAAGTTCATTGGAAAACACTACATCCGGAAATGTAGAATTAATTGCAGCCAGTCCAAAGTTCTAGACATTAGAAAAACGGATCTACTGATTCCTTAGCTATGATTTCCCCTAATCATTCAGAACTTGTATATGTAAAAATAACCTTGCCATCAGTTTGTTTGCTTTTGGTCATTAACAGTATTTTTCTGAGGCTAAAAAAATAAACATTTTAAATTGTGTTAAATATTTTCTTATTTAGCACACTTGTTTCTAGTAAAACAAAATGGCCCAATTATTTAAACCCATTTCTACTACTTTCTATACAGTTCTAACAATTTCCAAGAGGGAAATCCATAGGTCTACTATTTTAACTCTAAACTTGATGTTCATAGCCTTTAAAAATCCAAAATTTAAAAGGTTCACAGATTATCAACATGTACATAAGAAAATGCATATTACAGCAGCAGAAAGTAAACTAGGTAAGGGCAAAGGACTATACAATAAGAGTAAAAAGAGATTACTTGAAATTAATAAAGGTAAATATAACCCATTGTATTCCTACCATCTAATGATAATTTTAAAAACATGTATAATGAGAATTTTCTATCTTAAATGGCAGTTTTTCAACAAAACTCATCATCCAATTGTATATCATTAGAATATTCTCATTGTAGACTAATATTTGTGAATATTTTTATCATAGTCCCCTACATTATAGCTAGTATGTACCAAATAAGTCATTATGACAGTGTTATATCTATTTACTAATTGATATGCAATAAACTATTTTAATAGCAAATTTTGCATGTTACTACTATTCACACAGAATACTTAAACATCTGAGTCAAATGAATTATAATTTACTACATTACCATTTTTACATATCAGTTAAGAAAGTTATGATTATCTTTATATTAAAACTTTCAAAATCTGTGGAAAAAAATAATAATTTAGTGTACTTACTTCCAATATTGTTCGCTGGGAAGTTGCCCTGGCTGATAAACTTCACTTCCATTGATGCAGCTAAAATTGTTGTCATCAACCCAGCTTTTATTCACATAAATTATTCCTGACTGTGTATTCACATTGCAGTATGCCACTAAAATAATTTTTAAAAAGAATAAATACAGAGATTCTTAGTTTCGTAGAAGTACTTTCTTTGAAAAATTCAGTGTAAATGAATAGACTTCTTAAAATGCTACTTGGTAAAAAATCAAGTAGAAATTATCAAAGTGGAATAAAGCATGTTAAACCATTCATCATATTAAATATCTACTCCTAAATTATGGTGAGCATGCAAATATCTATCATTTCAAAACATATAGCAACTGAAGAGTAACTATCATTTCAGTTGTGTTTCAGTGTTCTAAGGAATGCTCAGTATGTAAACTCTTCAGCCTATATAGATAAATGATACCTTTAAATATCTAACAAGCATTCCATCTTTATCCTTCGGCATACAAAAGCAGTTCCAGTTGTAATCAGTATATAACAGTGGTGCTAAATTATCTCAAAGATTAGCAATATATGTCATGAACAGCACTCATTGTATTTGTCAACACACTAATACATATCATGAATAGCACTTTTCTCTATCGGTAGCTCATTTTCTAACTTCTTTTCTGTCCACAACTTAGGCATTCAAGAAGTATTCCTAGAAACTCTTTAGTTTTCTTGGTGTCTGTTTGAAATAAGCATATTGCATAAATCAGCATAGTTCATTTAAATTGCACCAAATTGATTAGAAAATGACTTTACCCTCAAAGCTGAGTCAGAAAATGTGAAAGAATAGCGTGGTTAGTGATGTTTTAGAAACAATGCTATGTAATAATAAGTAAATCAATTTTACCTATAGGGGATCTGCTACAGTTACTATCTGCCCAATCAGAACAATTTTTCCATGGTAATTCACTTCGAAAAGAAGCAAACATGTAGTAAAGACTATAGGCAATTATGACATTATAATAGATTGTGACAAAAATGGATATCAGGACCATTGTAATTCCCACACCTGAAAAACAGAACAGTTAGGATTAGAAGAAAGCAAGTGAAATTTATTTTGACATTCCATAAAAATACACATTCCAATTTCTACAAAATCTTTTAAATGATAAGATCTTATTAAATAAAAATACTTTTATTGGGCGAGGCCAATTCGCTGGATCAATAGCACAGCGGTAGGGCGTTTGCCTTGCACTCAGCCAACATGGCCGACCCGAGTTCGATTCCTCCGCCCCTCTCGGAGAACCCAGCAAGCTACCGAGAGTATTTCGCCCGCACGGCAGAATCTGGCAAGCTGCCCATGACGTATTCGATATGCCAAACACAGTAACAACAAAGTCTCCAATGGAGACGTTACTGGGCCCCCTCGAGCAAATCGATGATCAACGGGAGGGCCTTTATTGGGCACGAGTAATAGTACAGTGGATATGGCACTTGCCTTGCATGCGGCAAACCCAGGTTCTATCTCTAGGTTCTATCTCTGACACTACATATAGTCATCGAGCACATTAGGAATGATCTCCTGACTATAGAGCCAGGAGTAAACTCAGACTGTGTACCACAGACTGTGCCCATCCCTCACTTCCTGAATAAAACAAAACTAACCCTTATTGAAGTAACATTGGTTTTCAAGACTGTATATGTTTAGAGATACAATTTCATACATTTTCAAACATATTACTACACCCATGGAGGGAGGGTAATACTACTCTCTAAGTAGTTTTTTTTTTCTAGAAATTTAAATCATTTTGATGTTTATTCCTGGTGTCACAACAAATAACACTTTTTGATGATTGGCTTTCTGGCATACTTGAAGAGTTTACTTGAAAATGCTACTCTTTGTTAAAGGGATATCTATAGTAAGCCATAAATTCCACATAAGGAAAACCCATGCCGGCTAGTCTTTCATATTAGAGTACTATTTCTTTATTTATACCTTCTAATTTTATTTTTAAATTTATTTTTATTTATTATAGTTTTGCTAGTCACAATAGCATAAAACTTTATGGTATTAATATACAAAATTACTACAACTAACCACCACCAAAATATCCACAACTCTTCCAGTCACTATATCACGTCAAGTCTGGTGGTCTTGCCCCCTTATTTTGTTCCCACTATTCGGTGATTGGTTTTATATTCCAAGGCCAAGAGTTAGCCATTGTTCAGTACTGTCTATTCTCTTGCTTGTCTCTATATTCTACCAATGAGTAAGAGCACCTGGTATTTGTCCTCCCGTTGACTTATTTAACTTAACATGATAAAGACTTATAATTTTAAATTCTATATATTCTATTTACTCGCTGAAATATTTACATCTTCATTCATGAAACAGGGTTTTGATAAATAGGAGATAAAAATATCTGAATTTAATCCCTGAAAGAACAGCAATAATATTTTTGCAAGCACACCTAAAGGGAATTCAATAACTTAGTAAAAGTCTAAGTATCAGTGGACTCTAATTCAGTGATTTCAAAATGAAATTAGCATACTAAATATTACTCTTATACTTAAGATCTGCTTTAGAGTTTGTAACCTTAATATATCAGTATTAAAGCCTATTACCTCAGATTTTTTGTATTATTGAAAAATTATGACAATAACACAAATTGTTTTCATAATGACTATAAAATATATAATGCATAGCAGTTTATATCAATTTTAAGAGACAAAACACACAGTAAAGACTTAACCAATTCTTTGTGCTTGTGTTCTAAAGCCAAAAATGAATTACTGAATCACTTATGCTTTTTTATGACTCTATCACTGATTGGTGATTCATACATGGGAATTTAGAGAAATGGTGAAGAAATTTAAAATTCAAGAAATTATCTTTTCTAACTCAATATATTTGAGAAACCTTTAATTTTGCTATTCATAGTATAGCAGAGATGGCTATTATATTGAAATGAAATTAAACCAGAGAGATAATAGAGGGGTTTTGGCTCTTGCCTTGCTGTGGTCAACTCCATTTTCATCTGGAGCATAGTATATGGTCCATCAAGCACTATCAGGAATGAACCCTGAGCTCTGATAGATGTGGTGCAAAAAATAAATTAGAAAAATTATACATGATATTGCATTGAATTATCCTGGAATTATAACTTTTTTTACTGTAGGTAAATATTGGAAAAGAGATAATGACCACTTTTCATGGATGTCCAACTCCATAAATTTTATGCTGAATTGAGTCTTTTACAAATAGTTTCCAAGGGCCAGAGTGATAGTGTAGAGGGTATGGCACTAAAGTCTTGTGTACAGCCTATCCAGGTTCAATCCCCCACAATCCATATGGTCCACCAAACCTTCCAGGAGTGACAACTGGATACAGAACCAGGAGTAAGCCTTGAACACACCCTGGTGTGGCCCCGAAACAAAAATTAAACAATGTTTCCCAAGCTAGCACATGCCAAATGACATCTAATCTTCAGACTGAAAGGTTGTTTGATGTTTAATAACAATCAGGGCATTAAAAAAAACTGTACAAGTATCCAGTTATTCTATTAGAAACATCCAAGAAAAAAATGGTGACCTGCCCTTCAACTTTTCTGAATGAAGCATTGTGAAAGATCTGCAGGAACCAAAAGACAAAAACTGCACATTAAGTAGAAAAGAGTCAGAACCATGAACTTTATGCACAACCTGACTATGTGCCAAGAAAATTTATATACGGAAATAGAAGCATATTAATACCTTTACAAACATCTCTAACATACTGCCTAATCCCTCCAATTTTGTTGCATAAAGTGGACAGAAATTAAAATGAACATTTGATTTTAATAAATACAGTGGCAGGTGTTCAGAAAAATAAGTTATGCTTTTTTGACTTTAGGATGCCCACATTAAAAAATAACAAGTTCTATGAGAAAATAATCCAAAATACAATAAACTAATGGGAATTACAGACCTTGAAACAGTGGAAGAATCTTCCAAACTGAAACTGGACCTAAACTAGCAAATTGTCCCAGTGAACATTCCAGGAAGAACAAAGGTAAACCAGCCAGTGCCAGCATAATAGCATATGGAATCAAGAAAGCACCTAAAAAAAGCAAAAATAACCAATCACAATTACATTCCAAAGTCTTGACGGCACTTGATAACCATAATAACATTTTGAAAACATACTGATTCAGTGGTGTCAGTGGATTAGTGGTCCAAATACACTGCTTTCTGAGAAAAGCAGTAGATTCTCTAAATCTGAATTCCTCATCTGGGACTGCTAACGTTACCTAACAAGGTTATTGTGATGATTACAGAGAAATAAACAGCCTGTAAAATGTAATCCAGAGGAATTGAATGATCTCAGACTTTGGAGGTGATAGACCTAAATTTATATTTCTGGCTTCACCACTTACTAGTTATGTGACCTGGGGCAATTTACTTAACACCTGAACCTTGGTTCCTCATAAATGGTAGAACAATATCAACACATCAGTTTGTGGTTAAAAGGTTCAATTACAGTCTATGTGGAAAGACTTGGTGAAATAACACACAGTGGTATATATTCAAAACCAGTCTCCCTACTCTTCTTTCTTTAAAAATGAGTAATATATTTTTTGAGGAGAGAGAAAATGCTTAATGTGGCTTAGGTGCAAGTAGTTACAGTTAAAGTCAGTATTCTCCAAATTGTCATAAGGGTCTTCATTCAATGTTAATAGAAACTTAATTATTTTATTAGAGCAACTTGAACTTTTTAGCTATGTTCTTTTACAGTTAAAATATCCAATACCCTTTAAGAACAATTTAATATTTCCAATTTTTCTACCTTCTTTTGTGGCATTGTGCTGCTCTTTAGAACTTTTGCCAGATTACAGGTAGAAGCAGGAACAGAATATAAAACTTATTGATCAAGTATTCTATAATTTTTAATGAAATTTAATACAAAACTCTGGGAATCAGCAGATTAAAAGGGCAATTTTGGATTTTGGAAGTTTCACTTGCCTATGGTACATTTTTCCTCATGTATTTTTCATATTGTAATATATTAACAACATACCTAGGAATTATATTTCCCAACCCTTAAACATACTCTCCTAAAAAGCAATAAAACAATAAAGCATTGTCCTATTCAGATCTCTGGTCACTAGAACATAGGGATGAACATGTTTTTATTGATGTTGCAATTTGCATAACATCATTACAGTGAGTAAGAGAAGTAAAAATCTCATCAACAATAAGAAAAAGTAGTACAAGTATCCTGTTCAAATACAAAAGTATACCAAGCTTTATCAGCTCACTTTAAATAGTTTTTATCAAAAAGGGATTTTTTAGTGCTCATTAATTATATCATCATAATTAATAAGACCCATAAAATGTTCATACAATAAAACAATCACAACTTAATACTGCTTATTTAGAAGTTAAAATAGTGGGATACTTTTTTAATAAACCACTAAAAAGATTCTAACAAAAATTGTTTCAGACTTTAGCAATAGTTTTTCCAAAATAATCATATGTTAAAGAAGATTTGTTAAAAGATCTGAAAATTTTGAATTTCTTGTTCATTTTCAACCCTAGGGAAATATATAAAAGTAAGAGAGAGAGCCTAGATCATCTCTTGTACAAAAATATGACCTACAAAAATGAGGACTAGCATGACCTTAACTTTTAGAAGAAATATGAAAGATAAAAGTTATAATAAATAAAGCTAAGTCTGTTTCTGTAATATTTTGAAACTATTTAAACAGATTAATGTTGCTTCTGGAAATTAATGGAAACTACTAGGTTTCCATGAACAGGAACCCTATTTAGAGCCATATGCATAGGTATATCTATTGTATTAAGTCACAGGTAATTTCTTGCTTTGAACCTGAGCCCAAGTCTAGCCTGAATGCTTTTCTTCCCAACTATGGGTTTTAGGTCACAAGCTAGAGAAATATTATAATTCCTAATGCCTCTTCTAGCTAAAATATATACCAAACCTATGACAACAATGGAGTGTCTAAGTAGGGGAATTTAAGATAGCATGAACTCAAAGTGTCTGATGAGCAGAGTTTTTTCATTAATCTTTGAAAGCAATATGATTATTTTAATGCAATCAATAAATAAGAAACGTGAAGAAATATAACCATAGAACATTTTAATATACCAAGAAAAATAATTTTAGTGGCACAGTTTTACTGGTACCCAGTTATGAAATAGGACAAGTCATCTCTACACTTCTAATAGAACCTGTAATTATAAGTAAATAAAATATGGTGTAAGTGAAAAGTTGTTTCAACATTATTAGAGCATTAGGTAATTCATTTTGTTTCTCTTTGTGTGTCACCTGAGAGCTCCTTTTTCTTTGTTTTAATTGAGTCTTCCTTAATGATCTATAAGGTATGAACAGTATTATTTTGTAGAAATTAAACACCTGGCCTTGAACTAATCTCTGCATTTCAGAGGATTTCTACATGGTTGATCCAATTTGGAACACATGTAACTAAATATTTCAGTTTAAAATACTAAACCTTTAATTACTTTTTAATTAACTCTTTTTCCACTTGTATTTCCCAAACAGAATGCCTTTTTCTGTGTAAATGACAATTTATTAGAGATTCTTTAATAGCACTAGAAATTCCTATTTCATTTACTTAGATTCAGCTATAAACTAAGGAAAACTAAACCTTAATCTAAACAGATTATTATAGTCACGCAAATAAATTAAGAAGAGTAAGTAGTCAGAGTTAGAGGTAACGTGATCATAAATCATAAACTCAGAAATGATAAATACTAAAACTTTTATGAGTTTATAGTTGAGGCTTTTGTAAAGCCAGTGTCTTAATTGGGAGTTGGAACCCACTGTCTAATAATAAATGTAGAGAGTTGGTTTCACCATCTTCCTACTAACCCAAAGTATCAAAGTATCATTTCCTTAACATTCAAAATATTCTCAGAGGCCCATTTAAAACTGGAGGAAAAGAATTTCAAAGGCCTGGGGGAAAATACCTCCACCATTGTTGTAGGTCAAATATGGGAATCTCCAGACATTTCCCAGTCCCACTGCATATCCAACCATGGAGAGAAGATAATCTGACTTTTTGGACCAGTTACCACGGTCCTGATTCTCATCATTTTCACCAACATGGAAATTCTCCGATGAAGCTGTCACCTTCTGCAGAATAGAAAAATGAAAAGCTCATATTTCTACTATTAAAAATAAAATCACACACAGAGACAGAGATATGTGTGTGTGAGAGAGAGATACAGAGACAGAGAGAGAGGGCCCTTCAAATTTTAATAACAAGACTTTCCAAAGTTAGGAATATTTCTGCCATGGCTGCTTTTACTTCATATTTGCCCCTTTAATAAAGCTCTATAGGAGGATATACTTATTACAGGAAGGTTTATCTAAAATTTAGTGAAAAGTTACATCTGGGGCAAGAAGCATGAAGGAAATGATAAAGTTTACCGATAAATTGGATAAATAACATCTCAAGCTCATATGTCTTAAAGATGAATTAGAGAAAATCAGCAGTCTTTAAATTGTGGGAAATTTTGGAGAAGAATCTAAAGTAGCTCCTCTTTTGAAAAAGACCCCATTCCCTACAAGTATATAAATTCTGATATCTTATCTCAATGTAAAATCAGTAATTTTATGAAAGCTGCAAAATAATCAATTCTGGAGACAAATTCTCCTGTCCCACCAGGTGGAGCAGCTCTCTCTTCACTTAAGAGGACAGAGTGTCTCTCTTAACCTGTTAACTGCTCTTGAGTCTGGAAGGTTCTTCTGATCAGATAAGGACAGTGTGTGCATTTGTGCATTGCCTTCCAGCATATGGACACAAACAGCACATAGAGAGGGACAAATAACAGGATTTGCTAAGAGCACTAAGGTAAAGGATGATGCGACCCTCATGTCCCTAAGATCCTAGGTTTTCTTGTCCTATTTTACTATTACTGTATGGTGACAGTTCAGGCACACTTGAAGGCATTTGAGCAGAAATCTGAATAACTATTCTGGAAAGTAAAAATGAAGACTCGCCCCCCACGCTTGAGTTTTCCCTTTCCAGGCCCTCCACACATCCCGCAGTTCCCAAACCCATACCTCCTTCCCTCTGCACTTGAAGAAGCTGGGACACTTCAACTTGTCCATGGTTCACTCACTCACTCCCTCTGCTTGTTTTCTCTGCTTGTTCGCTCCGCCTTGTCTCGCAGTCTGGCAGAACTTGACTGGTAGCAGGTGCACACTCCCCGATCCTACCTCCCAGAGTGAGCCACCTTGCCTAGGGGTGGGACCATTTATGGAGGGAAGCTCTCTCCTCCCCCTCCCAGCAGCTCTATCGTGTCAATTACCGGAAAGGGCCAAAGTGAGACTCTGGTTTTTCCCCGGGTAAGCCAACGTGTAGCAATCCACTGACCCAGCCCCAGGAAAGGGCTGGGCTGTGAGAGAGAAGAGAAGCCTGAGCTGAGATGACTGACAGCTTTTGACTCAGACTCCTGCAGTGGTGCCTTCGCAATCACGCCTTCTTTCCCAGGTCCCTGCTTCCTCCTCACCCCTTGTCTAAGTCTCCTCTGTCCCGAGTCCAAGTGCTGATTTCTATTGGTGCTAGAGGAGATCTTATTTTGCTCACCAAGATTCTACCTTCCTGAGCCCTCCGATTTCCCAAAGCTTCTGCCCCTCACTAGAAAGCACTTGATCCCCTGCAGCAAATTTATTTCCACAGGGAATGCTGAATTGGGCACCTTGAAAAGCAGCCAGCTCAGATAAGATTACTCAGCTGGCTCTGCCTGAAAAGAGCAACTTTGAGCCTATGTCTCAGGCACCTTTTTCAGCCTTCAGGACAACATAGCCCTTTACAGGGATTGCTTTGTGTAGTATTTCAAAGAAGCCAAACAAAACAAATTATTGAGCAGGTTTATGAGAAATTCTAAACCTAGCAAAGGATTTTGCTACTCAAGAGGAGTGAGGCCGCAAAATTAAACTATGAGGTAGCATCCTTGTTTGGTCAGGAGAGAAAAAATATAGTATAATGTTATTTACCAATGTAGCACCTTATCACAAGAAAGCTCAAAGGATTTTAGCCAAAACTGCCTTTGCAAAAGATAATGGCAGGTGAAAATTCCAAGAAACACAGAATAAGTCAGCGTATAAAGAGGACTAGCAAAGAGTCAGATCCTGTACATTATGTGCAGTTCCTATGTTCTCCATTAACTAAGAGAAAAGTTTTATTTATAACAGATACATTTTTCTTGAATGTAACTTAGACTGGTGTATGTGTATGTGTTTTGTGTGTGTGTGTGTGTGTGTGTGAGAGAGAGAGAGAGAGAGAGAGAGAGAATAATGCCTGTTTCTTTAAGTATTAATACATCTGGTATAACCCAAAAGTTAGTCTAGAGGATAAAATTAAAAAATTATTTGTCTTTGTTAGACACAGAAGGGAAGAACAAGTGTGTAATTAAAAACTAATTCATAAGGAATGAGCTGAGAAGCAAATCTAATGGCATTTAACAAAGGATCAAGCCTTCTAGAAATTGAAGGAACTTACCAGGAGGCACTGCAATAAAATGGTAACTGGAGGGGAGTGATGGCAAGAGAACAGGAATCTTAAGGATAGATAAATGGTCTTATAAGGTAGGGTAGGTGGTATAACGAAGAAACACCACGTATTGTGCCTGCCTATTACATGGAGTGAAGTGGCTCACACGCTGAAGAATTTAGAACTTCAGAAGCATAAAGTACAATATAGAAATTATTTTAGAGCATTGTTCTGACTGAACATTGTTCTGAACCTTTTTCTGACTGTGGCCCCCTTCCAACCTTGCTTCCTCCCTGTAAACCTCTGCCCTCCTGGTTGACCCCCTTTATCGCATGCTGTAGGCCCTGAGTGAAACAATTTTTAACTGTTTCCCCCTTGGGATGTGATGGGAGTCATATGGCTTCATTTTTTAAAGAAATATTTTGTCTTGATTGCTTCTTTGTTTGGAAAATATATTTCCATGGACATGACTATCATTTTGTAACTGACTCCTGCTTACCTTTTTAGTGTCATTGCCTGACAGTCTCTATCCCAAAATCCTAAGCTTGTGTCTATCCCTGTATATAAACAACATATGTGTTTTTTCTCATGTCTGTTTTAATTCATGCTATTTATCTTCCAGGAAATTCAGGCCCTCTTTATTTACCTAAGTATTATTCATTCTCATCATTTAATACTCTGCTTAGGTATAACCTCCTCCAGTCTTTCCACAATGGTTGTTCTATTATAGCAGATTGGGTTTACATTTCTCTTTATTACTATGTTACCCAGAACATGATATTTATTTTATGGAAATATGTGCTGAGAGTTTCCTGAAAGTTCTTTGAAGGCAAGTATACTATATTAATCATTCTCTTAATCATTCCTGCATTCTCAGCACCCAGAACAAAACTTGTCACCAAGCAAACATTCAGAAAATGTTTATTAGAATATTTGACTCAGTCCATTTAATAATCATGTTGTCCAAAAAGGGAAAGGACAACTTGTCTAGAAACAATGATTAACTTATAAAAAAATTACCATTGTATTTTCTCTTCTTTAAGGCCTGATTTATTAATTGATGAAGAGTGTTTGTGAATTGTTTCCTTTTTTATTTTATTGAATCACCATGAGATAGTTACAAGCTTTCATGTTTGGGTTACAATCACACAATGATCAAACACCCATTCCTCCACCAGTGCACATTTCCCACCACCAATATCCCCGGTATACCCCCCTTTCCCACCCTTCCCCTGCCTCCATGGCAGACAATAGTCCCCATACTCTCTACTTTTGGCCATTATAGTTTGCAATACGGACTCTGAGAGGTTATCCATAGAAAGAAACTCAGGCACAAGGGTATGAATGATCAAAGTGTAAAAGAACATATGAAGACTCAATTATAAGGGTAAGAAGAAAACGTTGGAGGAAGTGTGATCATTCATGTACCTCATAGTATTACTGGCAAAAGTAAAGTAACTGTTTAATTCAGAATAACATGTTAGTTCACTACATTGGTTGTCTAAAGACATCACAAAATTATAATTAGTAGCATTTATGCTATAAGTTGTTCTATGCTGTACTTGGTGCATCTCTTCCAGAACACACAAATATCAAAGCTATTTATCTATCTAAATTTTATTTTTATAACTTAACTTAACTTCCCGTTAGTCGTCGATTTGCTCGAGCAAGTGCCAGTAACATCTCCATTTGTCCCTGTCGCGTGCTAGTGTAGCCCAATGGCATCTGTTCGCTCTGGGAACATGAAGAGCTTCAACCCAACCGTTCATGATCTTGACGAAGAAGTCTGACCATCTGGTAGGTGGGCGGCCACGCGGTCTTTTGACATCCCGTGGAATCCAGTCGGTAACAGCTCTAGTCCAGCGGTCGTCTTTAAATCTCATTACGTGACCAGCCCATCTGATTTTTGACACCTTGGCAAACAAGACAGCGTCCCTGATTCTTGATCGCCGACGGATGTCGGAACTCCGGATTCTTTCTCTCATTTGAGTGAAACATGATATTCCAAGCATAGCTCTTTCAATTCTTATTTGGGAGACCTGAATAGCGTTCTCAAATAAATAAATAGCGTTTATTTTTATATTTTAGTTTTTTTGCTTGTTTGGTGGCCACATCTAAGAGTGTTCAGGGCTTACTCCTGGCTCTGTACTCAGGCATCCTGGTAGGGACCTGTGGGATCTTGGGGTTCAAACGTGGGTCAGCTATGTGAAAGCCAAGTGCCCTATATGCTGTGGTATCACTCTGGTCTCTCTACTTAACTGTCAAAATGCATTGACTGAGATTACCAGAGGGGAAGTGAAGTAGGGGCAGTGTTTAAAGGATTGTGGTCCAGAGATATCAATACTTCAATGGTACAGGAGTAATGTGGAAACATAACGCTTGATAGATATGTAATTGTACCACTAAGATGCATACAATTATGTAATCATATGTTGTCTCTGTGTCTATAAATAAACAAATATATATAATGTAAAACCAACATAAAGCATTGATAACAGTTTAAATAATTGTGGAAGGTTTTTTTTTGTTTTATCACCACCAATGTCCCTTTCCCTCCACCAATAACCCTAGGTTCCCTTCTACCCCACCCCCTCCCCAGCCTGCACCCTTGGAAGACATACAACACATTTGTTTGAAGGAAGGGAAAATAAAATTATCAGGAAATTAATAAATAAAAGTCAGTTTGTGATGATTAATTGCTATTTTTTAACCTCAATCCAGTAGAGGGCAACCATATGCACCATTATTGAGTGCCATATTTAATGCCACATGTGGAGAAGTTTCTTCTGTCCTTTAAAGGAGCTCTTTTAATGCTTCTTGCAAAACTGGTTTCAAGGCTATAAATTCCATTAATAAATTCCTGCCCATGAAGCTCTGCATTATTCGTTCAACTATGAATGATAATTAGCTGGATATACTATTCTTTGTGAGGTGTTCAATTTGTGGAGGTTTTGTACTATATCTTTCCACATTCTTCTAGTGCATACACTCCCATATTAGTAAGAAAAAATACAAATTACATCTTATGGGCTTTTATTTATGTGTAAATTCTTTATGAATCTTGCTGCATCCATTATTTATGTCTCCTCCTTTGAATCTTACCATTTTGAGTTTAATACATGTTGGAGTTTTCCTCTTTGAGTCTATTTTCACTGGGGCCTTTCAGGAGCCTTGGCTCTCAGTGTCTATTCCTCAACTGGGAAATTCTTATTGATAATTGATCATTTTTATGTATCACACTTTCTCTCCTGTTTTCAGTAACTCTGATGATTGTTATATTGTTCCTCTTAAACTCGTATCAGTTCTCTGGCATGCTGTTCAAATCTTGTAAAACTATTTTCCAAGTTTTGCTGTCTCTTGGTGGTTTCATCCTTCTTGTCTTGGAGCTCCTTGAACTTTTTCTCAGCTGCTGTGATTCTGTTATTCAGAGTTTCTATTGAGTTATTTAATATCACCTACCATGTTCTTTGTTTTTTTCATTTCTAATTGAAGTACTTTTTCCATTTGACTCTTATTTTGTGGAGTGGCTATAATCAGTGGTACCACAAACTTTATGCCTGACTCTGTGTTTAAGGGTCACTTTTGGCAAGTCTTGGGGAACAGTATGAAGTGCTGATGATTGGACCTGTGTGAGC